GTCACCCACCTAAATCAGATTCTACATGGCGTCATAATTAAATCGAATAGAAGATGATAAAAATTATTTTGGATGGAAATTTTATTGGGAATATCGCTTGTGAGTTATCTCATATTGATTTTGTTAGGGTAAATGAGTCTACTTTATAAGTCTAGAGGGCTACACCTCCCATCACCAATTGATTTTGGGATCAAAACTCAGTTGGGCTTCATTTGAACTAACTCTCTTATGGTGCGCTTAACTTGTGTGGGACCGCACTCGTTTTGCCCGGTTTGACAAATTTAAATGGGCAAACAAACTATGATTGAACTAAAAGTTTAGAGATATGATGGTCTCGGCGTGAAGAATTCGACGGTAGGTCACCCACTTGAAACAAACATCAGAAAGCTAAATTTTAACCTTTCACTAATTATTAGTATACCTTATTTGATGAATTTTTCAAATTAACATAGTAAGTTTGATGTATGCAACAAAATGTTGACCTTTGCTGGAAAGTGACTATTATAGTAGACTAAAAATAAAAACTGTGCCTTCATTTAGCCATTGAAGTTTTTGTATATTTTTCGTTGTTCTGCCTTGTATTTTAATTTCTTTAATTCGTCATATATTTACTTTTTTGAACTTATAATAATAACAAATAATAATTACTAGCTCCAACAATAACTCTAGCAATAGGAATTTGTTATGATTAATTAGGTTAACTCTTCGCTGAGGCATAATTATTTTGTTTGGTTGTGTAAAAGGCCAACAAACTTGTAATTGAAGTTGTTTGAACTTTCTATGTACATGCTTGATTTCTCAAATGTATACATACGTGGTGGGAACAGTTTTGATATAGAGTCATCGGATGACATGACTTATGGAGCCATTTACACTTATTCACAAATTGTTTATTGGTACGTGTCGTACAATAAATACACTTTGGACATGGTCAATACATTAAATGATGACTTCTATAAAAAAACCATTCGATGGCTCCATAGAATTTCTAGTGGCGGGAAATCAAATTTCAGACCATATAGCATTTTTATTAAAAAAAAAAATGGTGACATAATTTTATATATTTAACGTTTTTTTAAGTTTACTGGAAATGATAAAATTGCACACAATTTTACGTTATTTCATGATTCCATTTTGAGATATACTTCTGCAACGACATTTAAACAATAATATGTTCAAAAACTTGAATTTTTTAGGGGTTCGAGTCATTCTCATATAACAACTAAAAGCCAAAAATTTTGATATGTCAAATTAAAAATTTGAAAATGTAAAGTCCTAAGTTGAATAGTACAATATTTTTCAGTTTAATTATATTATAGTATTTTATTTTTTGGTATTTGGTATTTAAATTAAAGAATAAAAAAATCATATCTAGTGACTAGAATTAAGTTGTAGTTAAATTAAAAAAAAAAAAACTAAAATATAAATACTTAAACTTAAACTATGACTTACCTTGTTATTATTATTATTATTATTATTATTATTATTATTATTATTATTATTATTATTATTATTATTATTATTATTATTATTATTTTCCTTTTCTACTTTTAAGTGTATTCGTTTTATTATTTAAATATTTATATTAAGATATTTACATTAAACCTTTGTGAGAAATAATTTGTAAATGTTATTTTTGAACTCATTCAAATATTATAATAATTTTTTGAGTCAATCGATCCAGTTTTATCTAATGCAAATATATATATATATATATATATATATAGAGAAGGGATCATATGAGAAAGAGTGACAGTGAAAGAAATAAGAATGATTGTAGACCTTTAGATATAGCAAATCAATGGTCATGATCTAAGTCAAACTTTAATAATTCAGTCAAACATATAATGGCATCATAGTAAATATTTGAACATATTATGGTCAAATATGTGTATTTGTTCAATTATTAAGGGTATAATAGTCATTAACATAAATAACAATTCTTGTGGACTTATTCCAACCACCCCGTCACTTTCTCTCTCACACCAACGCATTAAACACACACTGCACTCACACACATACTCGCCGCACACACACATACACACACACTCCGGCGGCGAAAGCACACCACCACCTGCTCGCCGCCTCCCAGTCGCCGTCAGCCACTGATAGACTGCCATCGACCACAGAGATGGCCCGCAGCACCGCCTCTGCCGCCCGTCGCAAGCTTTTTTGGCCACCGGAGACGTCGACGTCAGCCACAGCCCGAGCTTGCGTTCAATTGTGCTTCGAAGCAACGCCTCTCGCCGGAATGCCTTCGATTTTGTCGCGGATGCGGGAAGACGTCCGCCGCTTCGAGGCCGTGAAATCCACCCGACCTACCGGATCCTTCCAATTGGTCGCGGATGCGGGAAGACGTCCGCCGCCGTCATCGCCATAATAGAAGAGTCACTGAAGACCGGCGATTGGCGCGACCTCCACGCTGATAGATGAAATCGAATCAGGAGTTGATTGTGAATGAGAGACCAAAACATACAGATACAGT